CCAACTGGCCGGCTTCGGGTGCTAGGTTCAGCGGTGAATGCCTCACCACTCGCCATTGGAGGAGCCGGCGGACAACAAGACTTCCACAAGCCCCTGCACCTAAAGCACGTGTGCCAGCCGGGGCGCAACACCATCCAGATCACCGTCACCTCCTGCTGTGTGAAGTGTGGGGGAGCGCTGGGCCCAGCACAGGGAGCCAAGGTCCTCAACCGCCCTTTCTCAGCCTTATTCTTGGGTCTTCATGCCCTATCCCCACACACACTGAAGTGGTCTTTGAGGAGCCCCCCCCAGGAACGTACAGGGCCACTCTCGGGCAGAAAAGGTGGAGGATGCGGGGTGGGGGGGGGGAGGGGGGGGGTCAGTGTGGGGCAGGGCTGGGAAGTGAGGCAGGCTCCAATCCTGATGCCCAGTGTCCCCCGACCCATCCCAGGGCGTTTCAGTGTCTGCCATAGCCTTGTTGGCTTAGAGCAGAGGCAGCTGCTCCCAGGTAGTGACCCCAGCCTGGGTCCCTTGACTCCCAGGTCCAAGGACACGTCCTGGTCCTTGAGGGCTTTCTCCCCCAGGTCCCGGGGCACCTGCTCCTGAAGTGTGTCACGGTGGACATGGCCTCCTAGGGGCCTCGGGTACAGGGGCAGCCGAAGAGGCTACAGGTGGGTGGGCCATGGGGGCCGTGGGACAGGACCAAGCATCACTCTTCCTCGCAGTCCCACCTCTTCGTGCTGCAGCTGGTCCACCGGCCGTCCGTGCGCTCCGTGCTGCAAGGCCTCCTCAAGAAGCGCCTCCTGCCCGCTGAGCACTGCATCACCAAAAGTGAGTGCGCGCCAGACCCCAGCCTCCCAGGCACGGCCCATCGGGGACCTTTGGTTCCGTGTGCGACACCCGGGGCCCCGAGTGCTCCTTGACACCACACCCCAGCCCTGGCTCCTGCCCTCCTCTGGGGCCATGGCGATGATCCAATGAGCAGGGAACTGTAGGACCCGGTGGGAATCCTGACCCACCAGGTGCACATCACAGGATGTGAGGTTGATTAACACAAGCCTGTCCTGTGGTGCAGACAGGCCAGGTGGGCTGCCTGGAGGAGGTGAGCACCTGGAAGGATGGGAAGACCTGGAGAAGGGAGGCGTCTTCACTGGGAGGGAGGCCCCCACAGCTCACGCCTAACTGTAGACAAAACGACTTGTCTCAGAGTCCGTCCCTTTGGAGGAGTTCCCAGGTGACCGTTCTGGGGGCGCCATGCAGGGAGGTGCCCTGCTGCTCCTCCCTGTGATTATGCTGCACGTTACCGCCTGCTCCCGAGAACCCCGCCAGGCAGTCCATTGTCCATTCTCGTTTCCACACTCGCAGAATTAAGTGCAGAAGCGCCTGAGGAGGCTCCGCTGACCCAGAAAATCAGTGAAGTGCCAGACGGGGTTTCTGCAAGTGTTGCAGAAAGTCCCCTTCTTAGGAAGGCGGGGCTTATTCTGCGGAGCCTGGGGCACTGACGTGGTCCCCTCCAGGTGCACGCGCACTCCACACATGTCGTACGTGGGGCTGCCGTTGCAGAGTGCGGAGAGGCCTGGGGTACCCGGCAGGCTGAGCTCCCTTGGCTAGTTATTCACAGAACCTCCCAGTTTCAGGGTGGGGGCAGAGAACCAGTGTTTCAGCTGCTTGAGGAAGTGGGGAGGGGCATGTGGAGCAGGGCCTGCCCTCCTCACTCACCTGTGCCTCCCACCCCACAGTCAAGCGGAACTTCAGCAGCGTGGCAGCCTCGTCAGGCAACACCACCCTCAATGGGGAAGACGGCGTGGAGCAGACGGCCATCAAAGTGTCTCTGAAGTGCCCCATCACATTCCGGCGCATCCAGCTGCCTGCTCGAGGTCACGACTGCAAGCACGTCCAGGTGAGCCGCCCGCAGAGCCGCTGGTGTCTGGCCGGGGTGGTGAGGGGAGGCATGGGGCCGCAGGGCCTGCCTCTGACCGCTGAAGGACACAGTAGCCACCAGCAGTGATTCCACCACGTCAGCCATCATTTACTCTTGGAGCATCTGCGTGCTCGGGGCTGGGGCCAGGAGGCTGCAGAACTGGATTTAGGCTGTTCCTGCCCCGGCAGATGGCAGGTGCCAGCTGGAAATCCCGCCCATACAGCCACGGCTGGTTCAGGACCCGAGACAGGGACGCCTCTGCCCGGTCACTGCTGTGTTCCAGGGCCTTGCCCGAGCAGGTGCTCAGGAAATGAGTGACCGTCACAGTCCGGGTGGCTACAGCAGACACTGCAGATGCGGGCAGCCCGGGGTGGCGGGGTTCACTGTGCTGGGGCTGCTCAGGGAAGGAATCCCAGAAGAGGGGTGTGGGAAGCCGTCCGGGAGGAGCCGGGTGTGGCCTGCGGGGTGGGCAGGAAGAGAATAGGCTTCGGGCTGGGCCAGCTGCCCTCTCAGCCCCACCCTCCCACTCACCCTCCCAGGGCTTCCTATGGGAGAACGATGTGGGCAAGATGGACACCTGGTCACTTATTTGACACACACTGGACCATGTGTATCCTCAGTACCTGGGCTGGGCAGGTGGGAGACTGGAGTCCATGCTGCCCCCAGCCTCAGCAAGAGGGGCAGTTAAGGGCACGACCAGTGAGGGGCAGCTGCGGGGGAACCAGGAAGGATGTAGGCACAGGGTGGTGTGAGGGGGCCTGGGCAGAGGCATGCGGGGACAGAAAAGTCACCCCACCCACCAGCCAGTCCTGCGTCTCCACCATGTCTCCCTCCCTAGTGGGAGGCCTTCTAGGGTCTCGGGAGCAGTAGCGTTGCATCAAAGCAGTTTCTGAGAGTCCTGACCTCTTCTGTCTGTCTGTCTGCCTGTCTGCCTGTCTGCCTCTGCAGTGCTTTGACCTGGAATCATACCTGCAGCTGAATTGTGAGAGAGGGACCTGGCGGTGTCCTGTGTGCAAGTGAGTGACACCCACCCCAGCGGAGCTCCTCAGGCCTCCCCCCGGCCCTGCTCTTTGGGGTCCAGCACCTCCGCCGGCCCTAAAAGCCAGCGAGAACCCACATACAGCAGAGGGCTCGGATGACAGGAGCTGTACATAGTCATACTCCCCTTGTGTCAAGCGGTCACAGGGCCGCCTCCTGGCAGTGCCTGCAGCATAACCAGCAGCGGGGACAGGGTGTGGTTGACACAGTGGGCGGGATGGTCTGTGCCCCCACCCCTTAGGGTCCAGGGGCACGGCCAAGCCTTTCTCTCCTTTTCCAGTAAAACTGCTCTGCTGGAGGGCCTGGAGGTGGATCAGTACATGTGGGGCATCCTGAATGCCATCCAACAGTAAGTGGCTCCCAGCGAGGGGCACGGGGGCAGGGGGCGGGGATGGCAGCCTGGATTGGGCGGGTGAGCATGTCAACATCCCTGACACCCTTACCCCATCTCTCCCCTTCCTCTGACTTTACCTCTGTGGCTCCTGACCTGGGGGCAAATGCACTTTCCAGAAAGGACCAAACTCAGCCAGGGTAGGAAGCTGACAGTGCCCCCAGCAGCCACTTCCTGGGTGGGGCCAGCTGCCCGGTGCCCGGCCACTTACTTTTCCTAGCCTCCGTCTCCCTCACTCTCACATGCTGTAAAAACCCCATACCTCTGTATCATAGCCTGGGGCAGGGGACCTGGGCAAGGACACCTCCTGTCTCAGCTCAGCCCCCTGTAGCCTCAGCTCTGCCCCCTCCTCCCCCAGCTCCGAGTTCGAAGAGGTCACCATCGACCCCACGTGCAGCTGGCGGCCAGTGCCCATCAAGTCGGACCTGCACATTAAGGATGACCCTGACGGCATCCCCTCCAAGCGGTTCAAGACCATGAGTCCCAGCCAGATGATCATGCCCAACGTCATGGAGATGATCGCAGCCCTGGGCCCTGGCCCGTCCCCCTACCCACTCCCGCCGCCGCCTGGGGCCAACAACTCCAACGACTACAGCAACCAAGGTGGGTTGACGCCTGACAAAGAGGGCAGCACCGGGGATCCCAGCGGGGACAAGGACCTCTTTGCTGATGGTAGCTGGTGAGGAGGGGAGTTGGAGGGTGAAGAGGCAGAGGTGGATGTATCGCATCTAGGTAAAAACAACATTGCTGGATTTGTTGGGTAGGAGGTCCTGGCAAGACCACCCTAATGCAACGAGTCGCTCCATTCCAACTCTGAGATTGTCCCATATTGAGCATAGATGAAACAAAATAGAATCAGATGCTAGTATTTTGA